TTGTAATTGCTTTATTGCAGATTCATGAAAGGTGAATGTATCTCCAAAGAATACGTCACAGTTTACCTCAACTGCGGCAATTAATTGTATAATTACCTAGCATTGATAACGAACAATCTACAATCCTGGTCAAAAATATTGGCGAACTTGATACTGACAGCCCATTACAATAACAACAATAGCCCCTCTTCCCTCCCCCATATCCTACATTCATCCAATGTATAATGGGTTAGACTAGAAATGTCCAAAATTGCTGATAAATGTGAGTATGGTATGCACGAATGGCAAGAATGGCATGCACGGGAGATTTTCAATTCAAAGATGATCAAAATTACACGTCGAGTTCGATTGACGAGTGCAATTCTACGTATTTGAAAAGCTCACAAGTTCGTGATTTTCCAAGTCGGTCGAATAATCGGCACCGTCATGCCTATTTAAAGCATGATTACTCATATTTATATGCCACTCTTCTAGGCATAATCTTTGACCATAGCAATTGTTTGTGGTATTACTTTAGAGTTTTCCCACGCAATCTTGTGTTTGGTACGGAGCCCTGGAGGGGCCATCAGTAAAAACACAAACTTTTTTGAGAGGAAAAGCACAACCCAGCTAGCACATAACGTTATTACAACGTTGGTAAAAGGTTGTTGCAAAGTTAGATCTAACTTAACTTTCACACGACGTTCACACAACATTACTTTTCTATCCGGAATAAGAGCACGTGGTGTAAACGTTGGTTTAACGTTGAAATCTAACGTTCCAGGATGTCATGCGACACCTTCTTAGCAATGTTAGATTTCAACGTTGTAGCAACGTTAATGTGTAACGTTTGGACGTGACATCAAAACAACGTCGTAGACAACGTCGTCCTGACGTTAAGATTTGATATTTTCGCAACGTTCCAGGATGTCATACGATATCTTCATAGCAATGTTAGATTTTAACGTTGTAGCAACGTTAATGTGTAACGTTTGGATATGACATCAAAACAACGTCGTAAACAACGTCGTCTTGACGTTAAGATTTGATATTTTCGCAACGTTCTAAAAAAATTAAACATATGTCTTCTATTATTGAACCTGACAGTTAAACTATAGGTATAAAACCGCATCAGGCCATATGACTTCTTATGCCTATTCAGCAGAAATCGCGAGGAACGTCGCCTTGGTTAGTTCTTACTGGAAATTTTGTCCTGAAAACGTTTTATCCAACTGATTTTAAGCCAGACAGTATGCCTTTGTATTTGGCAGCTTATCAACAACTCGCCAAATATGGTAATTCTGACCATATTTTGTTTTCGATGTAAGTATATATATTGTATCTGTAACATTTGAAACTTCCATGTGTCTATCAGTCTCATGTACGGAAAAAAGGCGAACAAAGTATATTTATTTTGATATGTGTCTGCATGTTTGTTTGACGCCATATTAATTTACATTTTACAGCGCCTCTGTTGAATCGAAGATATATTTCAGGAGTACTCGTTCATTTGTCAATGAAATCCAAGAATGACTAATTAGTATACTGTATATATTAAATATTGAACTGCCTGTGCCAGTGTAGGTGGGGATGCAACTACCTGAAACTACATATAACGAGAACTAGAAGAATTGTGACGTTTCGAAATTTTCCTTATAATTGTTCAGGTAATTCTGTAATTTAAACTACAGACTGTTATTCAAGCACAGTAAGTCAGTATTACGTACGTTTATTACGGTAATAAAATGCGGCCTAGAAAAAGTTCTGTCGCACAAGATTGTTCAGGTGGTTACATCCCTACCAACGAACGCTTGTTCGTATACTGAATTAAATATTATTGTCAATATTCATCCAAACTATAAATTGGATCAGTAATTTTAGCCTATATTATTTGTAAATGAAGCTCTTTCCTTAAATAAAATGATTAAATCAAAGACTTTAGTCAATTGTTCTAACGTTGATCCTAACGTTGTCACAACGTTCCTGCGAGTTCACAAAATAACGTTACTACAACGTTAACTTTCAACGTTTTCTGGACGTTAATCAAACGTTGTGAGAACGTTGAACCAACGTCGTCTTCTAACGTTAATCAAACGTTGTAAGAACGTTGAACCAACGTCGTGTTCTAACGTTAATCCTGACGTTGTCACCACGTTCCTGCGAGTTCACAAAATAACGTTACTACAACTTATAATACCAACGTTATCTCCACGTTCGGCGAACGTTCGTACAACGTTGGCACAACGTAATTGTGCTAGCTGGGATGGGCTTCTGGAAAGCTTTTGGCATATGAAACTAAACATTGTATCTTAAGTTTGGAAAAGTTACAAGTTTAAACGTCGGGGTATTTGGAAACTTTCCGAGTTTGTGGGCTATGAATAAGATGGTGGGCTAACAATCTTTTCAGTTATTGTTGATTAGTAAAACTGCTTGACTGTTACATGACAGTTCACTTTGTCTTGGGAAGGAAGTGTTTGCGTTTTCCAAACCAATTTTAATGAGGTTGAAAAGTTCATAGATTTGGAATTAGGAAATCTAATGCTCGGGTAGTACGTCTTTCGTGTCTTTAATAGCTTGAAAAATTTTCGGAAGAAATCATAATTGGTGCTTGGCCTTCTTTTAATCTTTTTTGTTACAATGTTTGCGACATTCTTTTGCACTATAGAGTAGTTTGCTTTTGTTTTGAAATGCGATCCCGCAATAGTCTAGCGCAAACAGTTTGACACACAGTAAACCTTGAAATGCTATCCTGCGATAGTTTAGCGCAAGCAGGTTTGTCACACAGTGACCTTTTTGAACTTTTTTGCACTTTTTGCAACGACAGATTTGCACTCTCATACTTTGATATTTGCACATGTACTGTGATATTTTTATTTCTGTAATATTCTTTAAGTATAATATGTTTTGGGTTCATATGGTTGTCGCCATGAATACCTACGTAATAAAACTTTGTCGCGGTTCGTTTACAAGACAAAAGATTTTAAGCTGATTACAATACGATACACATATGTACACAAACAATGTTAAACCATGATTGGTCAGAATTATGATACTATTACTACATATGGTAATTATGGAAGTTCGGATACATTAATTAATTACGTAATATCAATACAGATCATATTAAACGGGCGATTAATTAAACATGGTCAGAGTCATTTTCGCCTTTCCCGCGCCTCGCCTGCCTCAAACCGCCAGGCTACCCAGGCAGCTCCTTCGATGATCAGGTTTGTGATTGTTTAATACTCGCTCCCATACGTCTTTGCAAACCGAGTCGAACAGATCAGTGAGACAGCGAGAAATGCCGAGAATCACTAATCAAAGTCGAACCTCTTCTGGCGAAGTTTGAAAAACTCAAACAAAGGCGGTAGGTTTCTTCCGAATGTTTTAAAAACACTGTTTGAAAGCTAGGCGGTAAGTTTCTTTTGAACCCTAGTGAGGTAAATGAATTTGTTAAGCATACAGATACCGAGACACGATACAGTATGTAACCTTGCGCTGGCAAGTGCGCTGCGACTGCGCAAGATTCACCCTAAAGCCCAATATACTCATACAAAAGAAAACAAATAAGCTATGAATGACACACAGGAGGAAAGAACCTACAAATACCTATATAATATGTTCGAAATAATTATCATGATTGATGGATCGCATGCATGATCATTGAATCAGAATTAAAAGCTAGGTATAACTAATAATCACTCGCATGCGCACTTTCAGCGATTGAAAATCTAAGCTAAAGAAACACGGTGTTTTCACAATCTGACAAAGATAAAAAATAAGATATGGGCTAAACGTGAAGAACAAAAATTTCACCTTGATCAATGACGTCTTTATTTAACTGCAGACAATTTGCTTTCATGCTTTGGTTTGTTTAATTTAGATGAACACCACGTATGTATACTTATTATTGCAAAGCTTTCGATCCGGGTGTAAGCCCAGATCTTCATCAGTGCTAATAATATGCTAAATATGAAGATTCGGGTTTACGGATCGAAAGCTTTGCAATATTAAATAAAAATACGTGATGTTTTTCACAAAGCGAGGCAAATATTTCAAGTGCTTACTAATTATAAACAGGTTTCATATTACATTGGGCAACATATTTTTTATGAATGTCAGGTATTTAGGGCAAAAATCTTATCTATAAAATTACAAAGATTTTATATTAGTTCAGTAAAAGATTTAGTCAAATAGACATGGATATACTGAGTGTGTCGTAATTTCAATCTTTTCAATCAGAACAAGGGGACGTGTCTAGTATCATTCGATTTGATAGACGGGTTCGAGATTGCATACATGTATATATATGATTACAGAAAATTGATGTCATGACGTTTGATCATATGATAATCAGATAATGTAGTAGTTGATAGGAAAATATATTTTCTTTCAAACTAGGTAGGTGACTTAGGGCTTGCGCATTTCTCATAACTGGCCGAAATATTGCGTCACCTGAGGCCAGACTGGAATTATTGCAAATGTGGCTGAGAAGAAAAAAAAACGACGATATTTTTGGTCGCGTATATATATTAAAGAAGATGAATGTTTGCGCGGATGAGCGCTATTGCCAGATTCATGCTGCTGGTTACTCCAGCTTATTCAATGACTCAATTTCCTGAAATTGCACAGAAATCAAGAAGATAAAACGATTTAATTAATTAATTAAAATGTAGGAAAATAACAATATTAATTATCTGCCTAAATTGTAACTACTAAATGTTCACTACTGGTCACAGTAGGAATGTCTCTTTCCGATACGATGCTGCAATTTCCTCAACTGGTTACGGGAAAACAGCTATCAATCCTTGGTTTCGTATACTAAGCGTTGATAGATCTTGAGCGGATTACGGAAAAAAAACAGAACCGCGGTTGGCACACAGTTAGTCCTTGCGCGGATGCGGTTGATCTCACAAGAAATGGCGCGGAGAAGATCTTCTCCACACACTACAAAGATTCCAGTCTGGAGTTCTGCATCAGGGACAGTATAATTAGACTAGCAATACTAAACATATACAGGACTCTAGTCTCCTCCGCAGGCAACTCTTTGGCAAAAATCTGAATATTAAAAAAATCTAAATATTTTGCCAATTTTTGCCAAAGAGTTGCCTGCGGAGAAGGCTAACAGGACTCGTAATGCTGTGAATATTTGGGTCTGAACGGGACTAGCTAACAGTGGTGGGTCGTGGGTAGAATGTCGTGGGTAAAAAGGCGTGGGTAAAATGTCCTGGGTCGTGGGTAAATTGTCGTGGGTAAAAAGGATTGGTTCCCGAGAAAAAAGTCGTGGGTCCCGAGAAAAAGTCGTGCCGGGTTCCAAGCAAAATGTTTCCGCATATTTACCTTTTTCCTTTGGGAATGCGTGTTTTTTTTTCTGAGGCTTTCCCAAATGCCCGTAGAGAACATTAAGGATTTAAGGGTAGTTGATATCGACAGTCGGTTTATAAATAACCATGCAAGTGTGGATGAAACAGTTCAACTTCACGCCCCATATAGCAGTCAAATATTCGGACGTTTAATATAATCTTATAGACAGCTAAATTAATTATTATTATTAGGGTACGAAAGCTGAATTATAGTGCTATCCACTAGTAAGATAGTCAAATTTTTATAATCGGCATAATATGCTTTCAGAGCTAAGGAACTGCGAAGTATAGTTACCCATTTAATTTAAATAATATGACATAGCATTTGACATGTATGGTCTTCATGTATATATACGGCCATTTAATACTGTACTCTGCACGTTACAAATTAAAGAAGATCGCCGGTCTGCAAAATAGTGATGCATCGATATCCATATCGATAATTTTGTTGTTGATATTATCGACATCGTCGTAAACATTACAAGAAAATATATCCCTAAACCGACCGATGTTGCTGTTATTTACCTGCCGATGTCTACCCTGAAGGATTTATTTAATACTGAGATGTGGAATTGTAACGAAATAGAGAGATCTTTTGATTTCTGAAATTTCCCAAACTACAAACGGAACAATGCTACTCGGACTGTTATTACTGTAAAAGCGCTTTGAAATTTTCAAATTCCAACTTGCCATTGACTTTACTGAAATTTGATGCTCAAGAAATACAGTAAAACCCCGCAAAAAAAGAACCTAGAATTTAAGAACCTGTTAGGCTAAAATATTTTCTGAAAATATTTTCTGTTTTGAAATTCAGGCTAGTATTTCAAAACAGATTCTTATATTATCAAATAAAGTCAAAATTAAGTCATAAGTTACAATCATATACTTATAGAGTTGGTATAGTCATGCATACACTGTAATATTTTAGATCACTTGGCATGCATAATTTATATAAATCATATACCATACCTTCCTAAAATGAGCCGCTTTTTTCTTAAGAAAATAAGAACCTGTTTAATCTAATTTCCTGGTAAGCACAATTTACACAAGAACCTGTTTAGGCTAACTTGGAAAATCTAGGTTCTTACATGTGGGTGGATATTTTTTGAAATGGTTTGACATTAAAAACAGGACATTTTGTTGGATTTACTTTCCTGATGTCTTACAAAGCTGTTTGAAATTAATTAAAATTGCAATTTGAACCATTTAAAGTGACCTTTCACTTACTGCATTTCTGACGACCAGTTTTCAGCTCTTTAGTCTTTGAATTTCCTAAAACCGCGTGGTCTTGAAAATCCTTGAATTTTCTTTTTCTGACTTGTACGAACCGTGTATCCAGTCTAAATGAGGTGACTTTAGTTTGATGTTTTCATCTGTAGTAACAATTGATTAATACGAAATATTAACACGCTTCGTTGGTATGGATGGACTACCTGAAAAATATAAAGAGAATTTCGACGTTTCGAGCGAAGACCTTCGTAACATTACACTGAATGTTAGTTGAAGGGTGGAAATTATCAATGATGGAAATTTATATACATTATTAGACCTACTCAGGAAGAGAAGGGAAAAATGCAACTTTAGGTCCCTGACAGGAATCGAACCTGCGGCACTGTGATTTCGGTGCAGCGTTCTAAACACAGTTGTCGAGCTCTAACAACAAGTTCAATCGAGTGAGATGCCAACAAAATCTTGATATTTACACACAAGAGCTCGACAACTGGCCTCTGTAGCTCAGTTGCTTAGAATCACAGTGCCGCAGGTTCGATTCCTCCCAGGGACCAAAAGTTCCATTTTTTGCTTCTGTTCCTGGTTAGGGCTAATAAATGTATATACATTTCCACTCGATAATTTCTATTTACAATACCCTTCAACTAATATTCAATTGAGTGAGATCACTGAGATGTCAACAAAATGTTGATGTTTACACATTATTCTGAATGGACATTTTTCGACCTCTGGCAGGCCAATGTAGAACAAATAAACCCGTCCTGTATCGATACAGTTTGTTTTTATTTAAGGTTCGTTCAGTAGAAACATTATATAGACTGATAGAGATGAGCTTTTTGTGCCACTAGGGAGAATAAGACTTCGCTCACACTAGAGAAAAGATTCCAAATTCACTACAATTTCTCGATTCGACTATTCGGATAAATTAACCATTTAAACTACCGGCAGCATTGAAGATAGGTAAAATTTATAGTTAATTTAATAATATTTCCGGCGTAAATATTAAATCTGTGCGAGTCTAATCCTAAGAGGTTTATGAAAAATAAAGCTAAATAAGCTAAATATAAAGTTTGACAACTTTCCAAAGTTTAGCATATTTTGCGCGCTATTATACTAAACTTTTCTTCCATCTAAATTTGGAAATTTACAAGTTTGGAAACGTTGCGTATTTGGAAACTTTCCGAGTTTGTGGGCTATGAATACGATCTAACAATCTTTTCAGTTATTGTTGATTAGTAAAACTGCTTGAGTGTTACATGACAGTTCACTTTGTCAGTTGGGAAGGAAGGGTTTGCGTTTTCCAAAGCAGTTTTAATAATAAGGTTGAAAAGTTCATAGATTTGGAATTTGGAAATCTAATGCTCGGGTGGTCTTTCGTGTCTTTGATAGCTTGAAAATATTTTGGGAAGAACCCATTGATGCTTGCTCTTCTTTTAATCTTTTTTGTTACGATGTTTGCGACATTCTTTTGCAACATAGAGTAGTTTGCTTTTGTTTTGAAATGCGATCCCGCAACAGTCTAGCGCAAACAGTTTGACACACAGTAAATCTTGAAATGCGATCCCGCGATAGTTTAGCGCAAGCAGATTTGTCACACAGTGAACTTTTCGAACTTTTTTGCACTTTTTGCAAAGACAGATTTGCACTGTGTTACTTTGATACTTGCACATGTGCTGTGATATTTTTATTTCTGTAATATTGTTTAGGTATAGATATGTTTTGGGTTCATGGTTGTCGCCATGAATACCTACGTAATAAAACTTTGTCGTGGTGGTTTACAAGACAAAAGATTTTAAGCTGATTACAATACGATACACATATTTACACAAACAATGTTCAACCATGCTTGGTCAGAATTATTATACTATTACTAAATATGGTAATTATGGAAGTTCGGACACATTAATTAATTACGTAATATCAATACAGATCATATTAAACGGGTGATTAATCATGGTCAGAGTCATTTTCGCTTTTCCCTCGCCTCGCCTGCCTCAAACCGCCAGGTTACCCAGGCAGCTCCTTCGATGATCAGGTTTGTGATTGGTTAATACTCGCTCCCATACGTCTTTGCAAACCGAGTCGAACAGATCAGATCATCAGTGAGACAGTGAGAGATGCCCAGAATCACTAATCAACGAAGTTTGAAAAACCCAAACAAAGGCGGTAAGTTTCTTTTGAATTTTAAACACTGTTTGAAATCTAGGCGGTAAGTTTCTTTGAACCCTAATGAGGTAAATGAATTTGTTAAGCATACAGATACCGAGACACGATACAGTATGTAACCTTGCTGGCAATTGCGCTGCGACTGCGCAAGACTCACCCTAAAGCCCAATATACTTGCTCAAAAGAAAATAAATAAGCTATGAATGACACACAGGAGGAAAGAACCTACAAATACCTATATAATATGTTCGAAATAATCATCATGATTGACGACGGATCGCATGCGTGATCATTGAATAAGAATTAAAAGCTAGGTAACTAATAATCACTCGAATGCGCACTTTCAGCGATTGAAAATCTAAGCTAAGGCAACACTATGTTTTCAAAATCTGACAAAGATAAAACATAAGATATGGGCTAAACATGAAGAACAAAAATTTCACCTTAGTCAATGACGTCATTCATTTAACTGGAAAAAATTTGCTTTCATGCTTTGGTTTGTTTAAATGAACACCACGTATGTATACTTATTATTGCAAAGCTTTCGATCCGGGCGTAAGCCCAGATCTTCAGCAGTGGTAATAATATGTTAAATGAAGATTCGGGTTTACGGGTCGAAAGCTTTGCAATAATAAAAATACGTGATGTTTTTCACAAAGCGAGACAAATATTTCTAGTGCTTACTAATTATAAACAGGTTTCATGTTAC